GCTGCTTTCTTTACAATATTCTTTTTATCGAAGGAGCTTATGGGAAGTCCTCTAACTGGGAATAACAACAACTGAAATCCCCCACAAAGTGTAAAAATAGATATAATTAGAGCAACATAGAGTAATTACACTCCAGGCCAAGTATGGCAAATTCTTCAGGCTTATATGCATGAATACAAAGCTGATACAGGGCATAGTTAGAGCCCCCTGACTTTCAGTTTCAGGGACAGGCTTTGACCCTCATTTTCCTCCTAATATTAATCACAGATGGATGTATAAACTCTGCAAGGCAGAAATCCTCTTATCTCTTCACTTCTTTGTTTTGTACACAGTACTGTGTTTGATTGCAGCCCTGTTTGTTTAGAGCTCTGATGCTGCAGCTTTCATCAGTGATGCATATTTAGTTGTTTCTTTAGCATTGAAAGGCTTTCACTGAATATTTCCAAGCCAGGCCTATTTGCCAGCCTGGCAATATCACTTGTAAGAAAGCTGAATCAATTTCTGCTTCAGGTAATTGTTTCCTGAAAGTCACATTTGTGTTAGCACACAGGTAAACAATCAACATGCCCAATGCAGAGGTATGGAAAGAGTGACTTGCAATGTTATTGGTTAGATTTCTGTGCAGGGCTTATTCCATGGTGCAATGAAAGGAGTGCTTTACATGCAGTTCAGCTGGAATGGCACATTTTTATAAATACTTGGGCAAGATCAAATGCAACATAAAGAAATAGCCTGAAAGTTCTCAGGTAACCCAGGCTTCATTGCTCAGTGGTGAAGACATGAGAACTGGAAGCTAGACTGTTGGATTTGCCCTACCTACCTCATTTGGTGTTGACACACTGACAGGGTCACTTTTTCAGAGTGACACAAATGAACAGAAGATGTCAGTTTTTTTGGGGTACACAGCCCTGCCCTGAAAGGAGGGAAGGGTCTGTAGAGCTGCATAGCTTCAACAGCAACACGGGATGCAGGAGGGCATGTGGTGCTGGAGTTGACAGTAGCTGGGAAAGGTGGAGAGAGGTAAAGTAACTGAAAAGTGCAAAATATTGCTAGGGGTACAAATGCAACATATGTAAGAAATACACAGGATCTTCATTATATAAAATCCAGGTGCCCATAGATCAGTATATGATAGCTCAGCACATTGCAGTGGTGATAGGAAGAGCTGTAAACTTCCTTTAGTGAATTCTCACCTGATAGACGCTGTTTTTTGCAACAGCAAAACCTACCAGAGGAACACAGTCAAGTGGGACTTTGTTATAGTGAATAGGAGAGGCGGAAGTAGCCTTGATTTTGGTAGAGGCTAAAGGCTGAAAATGAGAGACCAAAGTCTGCTTTGTTGTCAAGAATTCGGTTCAGAGACACCAAAATACACAGGGAATCTGAAATGACAGGATTTCTGTTCCTACCTCTACATTTGTTTGGTCAAAAATTTACATGAAAGTTTCATTCTTTTCTGAAAGTAAATTAAAAATCTATATAAGTCAAACATCCATGTTTGTGAATCATGGGATTTCCTGTGTGATGACTGCATGCATGCCAGCTCTGAATGGACGTTTTGCCAAGTGTGAAGTGGTGGCTACCTGAGAGCTAGGGAGGCAAGGACATTGTGAGCCCTCAGAGATCTTGCAAGAGGCTGTAAGAAAAGGAGTAGGTCTGTTGGACATGAAACATATTTTGAGTTGCTGGTTGTGTGTAGCTCCCAACACTTCTGCTGTCAGGCTGCTGGCGTGCCTCGTGTACGTATGTATGTGTAGGAAGTGACTGTGGAAACATGCCACTGTTTTTTAGCTCACTTTGAGTTTCCCTCGTTGGATTACTAATTGTGTTGGTTACTTATGTTGAAGAGACCTTTCTTGCAACGACATAGGTGAAAATGCCTGTGGAACAACTACCTTGCTGATTCTAGGAGCTATATTTTGGTGCAAGCATTTCTCAGGGATTGTGTTTCTGGGCCTTGCTCAGACTTGCCTCCCTCATTCCCTCTGGAGAAATTAAGAAACTTGTTGAGAAGTTTATCAGGCACTGGGAGCTCTGCTGTTACCTCTCCATCACTGCCAGTAGCACTGGGAGGGCAGCTTGCCACCTGCTCTGCTTCTCTCTGCAGACTCAGAAGATGAACTGAGGTGTATTTGGATGTGCAGTGGTCACAGGGGTGTAGGCTGTTGAGGGAAAGCACTGACAGTGAGTTTGAAGAAGCCAATGGGGAAGATTGTAATTTTCAAAGGAAAGTGGGCCCAAACTGAGCTATTTCAATCAAGCCAAGCCACAAACTTTAGAGGAAATCCAGACCTGATTCAGCTTCCAGGTGTTTAAACTTGCTGTCTTCCTTATCTTTAATGAACCATCTTTACTTTGCCAAAGTCTGTATTTGTGGTTATTTGTTGTTCATCTACTTTCTAAGCTGAAAACAGTTTTAATTAATTAATTGGCAGTAGAGCAGCCTATTTGCTGTAGCACTTTGGAAGTGAAGAGCTAATGTCAGCACAGTGACTGTTTGGCTGTCAGACCTGGGGTAAAGTCTTACTTGCACTGATTTACCTGTGGACATAGAGCCATGATGTTTATCAGCATCTGAGTTTCAGATCTGTACCCAAAAATCTCAGTGTGTAGCAATTTGGAGCTGTGCTAGTGATAGAGAGGCAGAGCAGTGAATAATAAATGGTACCATGAAGTGGCTTGGAGACTGATATGAAGATAGAGAATCAAAAATGATCGAATCCTGAGGTGGGGTAATTATTTTTAATGACTGTTTACTAGTCTGTGCTTCTTGGAAAGTGAGGGGGTTTCTAGATGGTGCAATGTCTGTTGCTGAACTGCCAGTTCCTGGGAGCAGGTCTGTTTGACCTAAATGGAACCCAACAGATGAAGATTTGCGTGTTCAAGTAGGTTATTTCAAGACAAAAATACATGAAAGAAAAAAGAATAGTGAAAGAAAACGTATTCTGAAGGCAAACTATGTGAGGAGGTTATGAGACAGGGAATCTGCTTTATGTTAGCAAAAGATCTGAGCTTTTGAAGCTTGTGGGCCAGTTATACCGGTTAAAGTGATGAAATTCTTCCAAAGCCATCAGGATTACACCCTTCCACTGGCTTTAGGGATTGGGTCTTCCCACTGGCAGGCCATTAGATCTTTTTTGCTTTTGAACACAAATGTGAATTTCTCATAAAGTCTCCTTCATTTCTTACTAGAAATGTTTCTGTTGGCAGCATTTTCTGGACTAAATGCCAACCAGATTTCAGATGCAATCCTAAATCCAAGGTTTTGTACATTAAGCCAGTCAGAAGGTTTCTCCGGTAATCTCCAGGAATTCCTTTTTGGCAGTTGATACCCAAACCCGGAGCCTTGATTTTGGCTCTTTTTCTGTAGGCTTTTTCTAATGGCTGGAGCCTAATGCTCTCTAGTTGGCCTTTTCTATTGGGATTAAGAGTTCAGCATGAAGTCATCATGACAAATGCAATAATTGAGGACAACAGGGAAACTCACTGGGTAAAGCTTCAACTGGTGTTACTGTGTTATTGCTTCTTGGTCTGTTCCCAGGAGAGAGAAAGTGTATTAGCTTAAGGTCGGGTTTGATTTGTAGCTCTTGTGTGCATGTCACTGAAGTTGAATGCTTGTAGAGGTTTTCTCTTCCTGTTATGCGGGAAAATAGAGTGGAATATGATTTGGTTCCTGTTTGTGATGGCCCTTGCACTTGCTGACGTTTATTATGTGTGTCATGGCTTTTCTTTGTGTAAGGAGCTTTGTAGAACGTAGCCAAATGGTGTTGGCTGTTCATAGATTTCAAAGTTCTGCACTGCTGCAAAACTAGCTGTATCAGTTATGGGACTCCTCACCAGAGTGTGTTTTTCTCAAACTTCATGTGTCTGTTACGGGAAAGGTGTTAGCATATTTCTTTGTTAGTATTCCAAAAGAACTGTTCCACTTAGGTCTGGTCTTGCTTCTCAATGCTTTTAAACGAACTTGTATAGAAATACTCCTATAGTACTTCCTCTTACTGGCTTGCCAGACTCAAATATTGAAATGTTATGTAGTAGCTGAGAAATACAAATAAATGGGATTTTCTTCTGATATTTTAGGAAGAATTGTAAATCTTTCTTTTGCAATTACGATAGTTATGAACTTAGTACACTTAAGTATGCATGCTTGTTTTTTAATCAATAGCTGATACTCTTACCAAGACACGTGCCTCCAGGAACAGGCTAACACTTTGTTACTGACTGCTGATTCTCCCTGGTTATGCGCAGGCAGCACAAGCAATGTCTTGCCTCACCTCTCTGCTTTTACCTCAACAGAGGTCATTAACAGCTGTGATACATTTCCATATGAATTTAATGCAGAGTCAGAAATGTGTGAAGCTTGGGTCACCCCTGTAAATGAAGCTGCTTGAGGTTTCTATTCCCCAGCATTAAACCGTAGCCATTCTCCTCCTTCTACACCCAGTGAAGACCTCCTTAGTTGTGGTAGTAACTACGGTTACTCACTGGTACAGAGGGCATCATCAGGCAGTGTTTGTCTCACATGGTGTGTGTACTGGCTGCTTTGAATTCCAGAGCTTTTTTCCTGACGTTGCAATATTGCAGGGATTTATTTTTTATTTTCTTTTTTGCTGTTAATGTGCAGAGTAGCTTGTTAGAATAAACTGTGATTTACAGAGAGATGGGGTAATACCTGTTCTGGAAGGCCCCCTGCACCCTCTTTGTGCTGGAGAATGACTACAGTTTTTAGTGGTTATTTCAAAGATGTTGCAAGTATTTTCTGTAGCCTTTCTCCGTCTAAAAACTAACAATAACAATTAATCTCCTCGGGGCTTCTCCACATCCTAATTACAACCAAGCCTTTCATTAGTCCCACAGGGAGACAGAATCAAATGCCATATGGTATTTTACACTTAGGATGCTGTGCTTACCAGGAGCTGGAAGGAGACAGGAAAAGGGGGAGTTAACAATTCATAACCATTTATGGAACAGGCACAGCCCTCCTTGGACCCAGTTCAGCAGAGTCTGAGGGCCTCAGATCAGGAACTTTATCTGGCTGGTAAGTGCATCGGCATGCTGGCTTTCTTGTGTGCGTGTATGGGCATTTGGTGAGCAGGATAGGAAGCTGCAGGATCCACACACCAGGATGAATTAAGTGTGCACACGTCTCCCAGGAAGGACCATGGCTGGGTTCTACGGTTGCCTGAAAAGTAAAAAGTAAGTGCCATGCTGAGCCCTCCCCTCCACCTTTCCCAAGTGAGCTGAGTCTGGGGCATACTTCGAAATGCTGTCTTTGTTGTATTTCAGCAGCAGCACTGAACAAAGTGCTTATGCTTTGAGGGTGAGGTACCATTCTGAGTGCAAAAGTGCAAAAAATCAGTCCTGGCTGAAATACCACATTGGTGAAAATTGGTCATGTTTTTTCCCTTAGAGGTATAAACATGAAATATTGAAAAAGGAATTAAGAACCTTTTCCTGTCTAATTATAGCAAGAGGAAAAAATGTCCTCTTCCTTATAGCTATATTGTTCATATATTAACATATAAAAATAAGAAATACAGAAATGCACACTGGCTTTTAAAAAATACTCAGAAATGTGGCAGTGAGTGCTCTTGAGAGTTTGATGTGCTCAGTTTTTGTATAAGCAACCTGAGGTTTGTTTCTGTAATCGCTCCCTGTTGACAGATTTGGTTGTATTTAAAATAAATATTTTTATTGCTTCACTGACATATTCTGCTGGAGCAGACTATAAAGGGAGAAGAGAATGGGACAATGCATGTTGGTCTTTGTGCTTTAAACCACCCCAAAGATATGTTCTGTTTTTCCTTTGACATTCTCCCTGCTAGGGAATGGAACAAAAATTGGTGCTGCACAAACTGAGCAGTGGGTTTTGACGATGTTTTACATCAGCAGACTGTAGAGGGCTCTTTTCTTGCATAAAGTGTGGGATGGCAGAAAGTGGAAGTGCACAGTGAAAGGCAAGCAAAGTTGTATCTTAAGGCTTAAGATGTGAATACTGATAGTTAAATGTATGGGTAGGTCCTGGTTAGCAGAGGGGGGAAAAGACATTTCAAAAGTGAAGCTGGCAAGTCACTGGTTCTCCTTTGCCCTCTTCTAAAGGTTGTATCCCTCATAACAACAGTTTGTCTCACATTACTCTTATAGAAATGTGCATTGTCAAAGGCACGCAATTCCTATTGGATTTCAGTTAGCATTTCCATCCTATATTGACTCTTTTCCTCCTTTGAAATTTGTAACAGTGTCTATGAGTGGGAATTAATGTTTGGAAAGTAAGTCTGCCTTAGATAAAGGGGAATAATGCAGTGAGAACTAACAAAAGGGCTAAGAACGAGTCCTGATGAAGTTAGAAGGATTGGCGCTTGAATTGTCCCCGTCCCTCCCCCCGAACCCTCCAGCATCTAATGCAGTTAAAAGAAAACTGGAAGTCTGAGAGAAGCTAAAACAGCCGGGCAGATGAAGCTTCTTTTGTGTGGTGCATGATCCTGGTAGGTCCCAACCTGATTTATGAGGAACATGGTTTTTTTCTTCAGTGCATTCTTATTTCTTGTTACCTTTACAAGTTACACTTGATATCTATACAGACTGTATTCCTCAACCTGTTATTTCAGCCCTGTGATGTGTTCCCAAGGGCAATTATTAGTACTTTGCAGTCATTACAGATTTCATGTACTGCTTTGGCTGTGATTATTGAGGTTAAAATGAGTCTGAGACACCAACTGCAGTAACAGCGATGCTTTTAGCCTATGATTAATTTTGGATGAAATTTGTTTGGAGTTTGACATGAAGTATTTGTCTTTCTGGACCACTGGGTCGTTGGAACAGCTTCCCCAAATCCTCACGTGGTCATCTGACCTGTAGGAGTTATTTGCTTTCTGATTTAAAACTGGTTTGGAATGAATAGACTTTTATGTTTTAAGCAGTTGGCTTGGGTATGAGCAGGGATTTGGACAAAGCACATAGAGCTCAGCCCAAGCCATGGAACCTGCATTGACACTGGGAAGGCACCCAGGCTGTTTGAAAAGCTGTTCTGGGTAATGCTCTGCTGTGCTGCTGTCACACTTACCTTCACTCACTCACATTTTGCAAGGGGAGCAAATGCTCTGCCTTGGTACACTGCAGTATGTCTGAGTATGATCTCTGTGCAGAGAGCCGTGTCCCTGTGCTTTGTTAATGTTCTTTTATGAGATATCTCATAAAAAATAAAAAGCCTAAAGCCTAATTCAGGTAATTATTCATCACAGCCCCCATCTTGGCTGCTATTCCACTGAAATAAAGGTTTTAGTTTGCTTTTATATTTCTCTTTAACCAGCATCTGCAACCTTAAGAATCTTAAATTGTTCTTCCAGTAAGTTTATAGCTCATCATCCTTGCTACAGAGTTTTGTTGTGCATGGTCCTGGTATGGTGTCAGAAAGATATTAGACCTGGACACATAGAACGAATTTTTCTAAAGCCTATGGAGGAATCTTTTCATATATCTCTCAGTTTTTGGTACTAGCCAAATACATAGTTATGAGCAGAAAGTGTGGTTGCTGGAATACTAAGGTTCACTGATGGTCAACGCAAACTGCCAATTTCCAAAGACAAATATAGTGTGTTAGAAGTTATATAAAATATTTGTCTGAAGGCTTTGCATGCCAGCTCGGAACTGGTTTCTATAGCAGCCTATAAGCAAATGTATTTAACTGGTCGGTATTTAATGTGGTCACTCAGGATTTCATGATGCCTTTCACGAGGAATCCCAGCATTATGGACATATTTCAGTTTGAATGTGCTCTGCTATGCCAAGCTCTGCAATTCCAGCAGGATATTGTATTATTTTCTTTTAGCTTGAAATTGTCAAAAAGTACTGATGTGCACTCTTATCCTGCAAAGAAGTTCAGCATTTGGGCAAAGCAAGTTCATCAATGGATGCATCAGTATAATTTTTAATTTATTTTTAGATCGTTGTAAATATGAAGTGATGTTATGACCACAAAATCAAGTAAAATGTGTTTTCTGGTTTAGGTGCTGTTGCTTTGGTGCTGTAGCTCGTGTTGTTGCCTGTCCAGATGAGTCTTAGGAAGAGCTTTTGGTGTTTACTGATACAGTTGCAAAGATGGTGTAGATGGATAACCAGCTGAGCTGCCTGTTCACTGCCTCCTGCACCTTTGCCTCAAGCCCTCTTGTTGGAGAGGCTCACAGGGGACAGTGGCAGGAGTGCCAGGAGTCCCCTCATTCTTGGTGCATAATCCACTTCTTACAGCTTTTATATGTGTGTGGGGTCCTTACAGCTCTTGGTTGCCCATCCACAGCAAGCAGCTGTTGTTTTATCTTGGACACTAGCAAGTGAATTGGAAGTGGTTTAAAGCTCCACCAACTGCTACTGAAGTAGCAGCTTGGCACTGTAGGGAACGGGGCAGTTTAGAACTGTTGGTTCTTCTCTTGTCAGCAGCTTATTCACCCCCTGTGGCCCCTCTCACTTTCTGAAGGCATGTAATCACTGCAGGGTTGAAGTAGCTGTGTTTACTGACTGTCCACAGCACATGATGTTTTGCCGTTTGGCCCAGTTTAATACATGGAGCATCTCTCCAGGTGTCTCAGGTTATTTAAAGTGAGACACTGAGTCCTCTGGACATCTTGCTCATGGCATCCCTCTGCATACCTGTGCTTAGCTCGACAGTGGTCTGTGGTGTCAGTGGGGCTGTCAAGAGGCCCTGCGACTTTGGACTTGGTGTGTTCTGGTTGGGAGCTGTGACAGAGCTGGTGCCATGGTCCTGTGGTGATCTGGGGGTCTGTGTGTGTGGCCAGTGAATTTTGGTGAGGCGAAAGGCTTCCTATGAACACTTTGGATTCTTATGTATTTGTTTACCTTTATTGTGCACCACATTATTTATTGTACACACAGGATTTCCCAGCAAGGGCAAGAAGCACTCATTAACTGCTTTTCAGTGGTGCTTTTTTGAGAGAAAAACATCTGAGGATGAGAGGTGGTTCCTGCCCAGCAAAGCAAGTCCACCAGTGCAGAGACAACCCCTAGATCCACAAAGGAGTTACAATATTGGGTTTTAAGAAACAGCTTATGGAATGTGCAAGAGGCAGAGCATTGAACAGGAAGATGGAGAGCTCTCCCAGCTGGGACAAGTCAGGCAGAGTGAGCTGAGGTTAAAGGACTCCCCAGGCATTGTGAGTCTCTCGGGGAAATCTTTTAATACACAGCCTATGAGCATGTTCCTGTACATGGCAATTATACAGAGCATTTGGACATTTGTGAGCATTTTATCTTCAGCTCACAGAGGTTGTTCAGTGCTATGCCTGATATTAAATGTGTGGAGGCTTAAGTCCTCTTTTCTTACTCAGAAATAGTAGAAAGGGTGAACAAAAGCAGTCAGGAGGTGGCAGAGCCATGGCACTGCAGACAGTTGGGCACAGTTAGTACAATGGTGCTGTATTATTAACAAAAAGATCAACTATTTCTCTTTGTTGATTCATTCCATTTTACTCATCTCTATGCAAGAAGTTCAGTTCTGGCTTAATACACCAGTGAGTACACATTTCCCAGTCCCCCTCATTCTGTTCATGTTTCTCTCTGGATAGTGTTTGTTTTAGCAGCCACAGTGATGTGGTGCATTTTGCTGGCTGTTAGGCAGAGGAATTCCAAGCAGTTATGCCCGTTTGTATGGTTTCAGTAGAACAGTCCTTCCCCTATCACTAAGGTGCTGAATATTTGACAGTTGTACACCTCTAATGCTGCCTGTTCTACTTCTCTTGCACTTGAGAAGTAGAAGTAGAAGCTTCTTGGTTTAGGACAATCTGCAGAATGTGATTCTCACTCTCCTGCACCATTTGACTGTCATTGTTTTGCCAGACTGAGCTGTGAAAACACCTTGTCATAATTTTGTCTTCTGATCTCTTCTTATACAGAAACTTCTGCTGCTCAGAGTGTGTAGGTTTGTACCCTTACAGCCAGCTGGAGAGATCAGTTTGTCATTTTCTCCTTGTACAGAGGTCTGGAAAGTTTAGTGGCTGTGATGTGAACCCTAGAATTGGGTTTAGAAGCTGAATGTGGGACAAAACTGGTAGGTCCAAGGTGTGCTCCCTACACCTACCTGAGCTGGTGTAGGGCAGCTAGAGCTGATCACCATTCAAACTTAGGAAAATCTCAGATAGGTCTGTCTGTGGGAAAACAGGAAAAAACCTCAAAGTTATTCCAAGGTT